CACATACACACAAAATATTTCTAGACTAGAATTACCAAGAACTACTTTGATTAAAGAACAAATATTTCTTGGATTAAGTAAAATATGATATGATATAGTAATAGAATTTTTTATGTGTAAAAAAGATTATTTTGATACCAACATTGTCCTGATTCCTACAAATAAAAGACTAAGAAATATAACACAGAACTGACAATTTTCAATCTGCATGTAAACTAACATAAAAAGGTATCATGTTCAGGACTCTCATAATGAAAAAGATTTAGTTACAATAACATATTATTACTAAAGACATTCTTACCAAAGGTAGAAGCAATAAATATGGGACAGAGATGCATTACCCTCCTTGTCAAGCATTAAGGAGGGCTACCGTGTTTCCACAGAATACTGTTTCCTCCTAGGGAAAATGGAGACAATCATATATCTTAGCTTTGCTGGAAGACTAAATTAAACAATGTATATTGCAATGGCCAACACTCAGAGTCTGGCATTGATTAGTGCTGATAAATAGTATTTTCTCTTCTCTCCTGGAGGCCATTCCAGGTCTTAGTAATACAAGGGCATACACAACCACGGCCTTTTGCTTAAGCAAAAGGATGCGGGTCTAGAAAGAAGGCACAGAGTTGGGGCCTAGCCTGTATCCACAGTGTTTACCACCCTCTCATCATGCCCCTACAGAGCAGCCTTGAGAAGAGTAGAACTTTGGTCTACAAACTCCCAATTAGGCCAACTCTGTAATTCCAAGGAACAATTACCTTAGCCCCCAGCTCTGTGCAAGCCTACACTCCTATAATTTGTGAATGTGCAAAAGGGAGAATAATATTATCACTTGTACACATTATTATCCTGTTACCTATGAACACACTCCTAGATACCTTAAGCAAATAAATTCTGTGGTTGCAAGAGAGTGTAAAATTTTTACAGACTAGGTTGGAAGTGATTAAAACAAAATTCCAAAACTGAAAATTGAAAGAAAAATAGTTCTTTGGTCTCTAAAAAAAAATTGTAAGAATAAAATAGATCTGGACTTTTTACAGACTTAGATATTATAGTCCACTCTTCTAGTTGTGGGTCGTGTGGAATCCAGGCTTCAGTTCCTCAGTTAACACAAAAGTTAATCTGTGAGTCTTTATAGGACTCACAAGGAGGCCTTTTCTTCTGAGTAATTTGCCTCCTTGTACACCAGCTGGGCTATATCTACATAGACAAAATCTTCATTATTTTACCCAGGATGGTAGACTGGCTGGACCTCATAATGAAACAGTAGGTATTAAAAATTCCTTCTCTAGGGGCAGCTGGGTGGCTCAGTAGGTTGAGTGTCTGACTCTTGATTTCAGCTCAGGTCATGATCTCAGGGTCATGGAATCGAGCTCTGCATCAGGCTCCACGTTTGGCGTCGAGTAGGCTTGGGATTCTCTCTCCCTCTCCCCCTGCCCCTCCCCCCCACTCTCTTTCTCTCTAAAATAAATAAATAAATCTTTAAAAAAATGTTGCCTCTCTGTGGAAAATACATTTAGGGGATGTTGGAGTTTTAAATATAAGGGTTTCCAGAAAAACACCATTTTTTTCCCAATGGTTTCCTCATCATCATCCCCATTGACAATTCCATAGCATTTTAGAAAATAAATTTACAGACTAGAATGATCTTTGGCCATGAGGAAAGAATGTTTTTATAGCACCATTAAATACCTTTTTTAAAAAAAAATTTAAGTAATACCTACGCCCAGCATGGGGTTTGAACTCATGACCCCGAGATCAAGAGTCACATGCTCTACCAACTGAGCCAGCCAGGAACCCATTATAGTTCTCTTAAATATCTTAGTGAACACTTTCAGGGGTCTATTTGTTATTTTTCTATAACCTCTTCTGTTGATGTTAGTTTCTAAAGGTTTAGTACTGTATTCCTCTTCATTAACAAAGAAATTAGGGTATCTAGAGATTTTCCTTGTTTCCATTTTTTGATGAATTGCCATTTGTAATTCTTTTAAGTTTGAATCCTTTGATTCTTTATAACTTAGATAATGTTTTGATAGATTGGTCTCATAGAATGATTTAGGATCTTAAAAAAGACATTTATTAGCACTTTAATAGACTTTTCCCCTAGGACTGTCAAACAAATCAGTACAATAAGAATATTCAAACCAATTGGCAAATCGTTCCTGAACACATTTGTTGATAGCAAACATTTCAATTTGGAACTAAAAGGTCACTATGTCAGTTCCTGAACCTCTAATTTCAACATTACCTAAGACCATACCAGAATACATAGCCACTCTTAAGAACTTTCAGAGAAAGTTGTAGTAATTTCCTTCAGAAGTGCAGTTGAGACTATCACAACTAAAGTGCATGCATTCATGGCAACAAGAGCAAATGGATATTGATACAGGATAAGTCATTGGTAAGACTAATAACTGTCAAGTCCAGCTATGAGGATATATAACAGTTATGGGGAAATATAAGCTGCAAAATCAGCCATTCAAAAAAAGAAAAAGTCATTATAAGACTGATTCACTTATTTGTTCTTTTGTAAATATTTACAAATAAAGTGAGTGAATAAATGAATGCAGGAATGTTGAGGATATGCTAGACACTGCATATCACATATCCTGGTTGTATGGTGAGCAGGAAAAACATGGTTCTTGCCCTCATAAAACTTACAGTCTAGCAGGAGAGAAAAACATTTTAAAAAATCACATAAATAAGTATCTCATTAAATTTCTTTTTTTTTTTTTTTAAGATTTTATTTATTTGACAGAGAGAGACACAGTGAGAGAGGGAACACAAGCAGGGGGAGTGGGAGAGGGAGAAGCAGGCTTCCCACAGAGCAGGGAGCCCGATGCAGGGCTCTATCCCAGGACCCTGGGACCATGACCTGAGCCCAAGACAGCCGCTTAAGGACTGAGCCACCCAGGCGCCACTAAATTTCAATGACAATGCTGTTGATGAGTGTTCTGACTGTCATACCATTTTTTTTGTTCTCCATAAGAGGACTAAAACACCCAGGAAATAATTTTTCAAGTGTAAAAGCTGGAAAAAACATCTTTTCTGAAAATCTCCCTCCTGTGATATGGGTCCATTATCTCATTCCCTCCGTGGAAGTGGAAAGTCTTTGTGTTACATTGACTCTCCCTTCCACCTTTCATATCCAAGTAGGTACCATGGCTTATTGATTTTATCATCCAAATATATCTTATATTCATGCCCTCTTCTCCATTTCTTTTTAGAGAAGGGGGAGAGAGAGGTAGGGGGCGCAGAGAGAGAAGGAGAGAAAGAATCTTAAGCAGGCTCCACACGCAGCGTGGAGCCTGATGTGGGGCTCAATCTCACGACCCTGAGATCTTGACCTAAGCTAAAACCGAGAGTCAAATGCTTAATCAACAGAGCACCCAGGTACCCCACCTTCTTCTCCATTTCCATATCCAAAAGCATAGTACTAGTTCTCTGTTACTCTACCCAAATTGTTTTATCTTGACTCCCAGAATAGGAGATATTAAAGTAGGAAAGGACCCTAGAGATCATTCTTCAGATGGGGAAACTGAGGCTCAGAAAGACAAATGTCTCACCCAGGACCCCACAATTCAGCCTAGCCACAGCCATGCCAGTAATTTTTCTCTAGAGCAGCTGATATGGAAGCCATGGAACACTACTCATTGCCTGCTTCCTGTCATTCCCAGCCTCTTCTTCCTTGTTAGAAAATCCCCTTTCCCATGGTAGGAACCAAAAATGACATATACTTGTTTCCTAGGGATGGCCCTGTGACCCAGTTTTGGCCACCAAGATATAAAGGGAAGTCTCTGGCTGGTTTCTGAGAAAGAGTTTGCTTCTGACATAAAGTGAAATCAACTAGAGCAACCAACCCCCTGATCCCTTGTCTTCCTGTCCTTGGAGCTGAACAACAACAGCCTAAGGACAAAAAGCCAACAGCTGAGAATTGAAAGAATCAAAGCACTTGGGACCCTCATCTATGAGCCCTGAGCTAATCTTGAAACTGCCTACTTGCAGACCTTTTATAATGAGAGATTGTTTGAAGTCTTTCCTACCTACAACTTTATGTCTTGTGTTCTGTTACTTGCAGCTGAGTGCACCCTGAATGGTCACTGGTTTATTTCTTTATTTTCCCTCTACCCCTCTAAGCTCTACAGGAGCAAGGAATTGACCTATTTTTTTTTTTCATTGCATGTTCCCAGTTCCTAGAACAGAGCCTGGCACAAAATCAGCCCTTGAGAAATAGTTGTTGAATGAATGAATGCCCAAAAATCTTCACTGGCTCTCTAATTTTGCAGAATAAAGTCCAAAGGATTAATCTGGCATTCAAGGCCCTTCCTGATCTAGCCCCAATCCATCTTTCCAGCCTTATCTTTTACTTTCATACATGCTACCACTCAGGAAAACTGACTACTTCCTGTCCTCCCAAACACCCACTGAGCTTTCTGATGCAGGGCTTTGGCTCACAGAGTCTGTCTGTGGAATAGGCTCCTTCCCCTCCTCCACTTTGACACTTTTTCATTCGTTCTTCAAGCTCCAGATAGATCTCCTATTAGCACTTCCTCTGATACTTTTCAGGTACAAATATCTTTTCTATGTTCCCTTTTCTTTTGTGCCATTTATCACTTTTAAACATTCATGCTAATTATTACAGTGTACTCATCTCTATCAGATTATAAACTCCTTGGGGTAGAAAATTCACCCTCCCAAGAAACAAACAGAAAGCTTTGCCCCAGTGGATACCTAGTACATTTTTCTTTGTGAGTAGGAGCATAAACAACATCAAAGTGAGCCCATTTAAACAATAATTCGGACCCAGGAATTGGTGCTGACTTTCATTGAAGCAGAGGTCTGATGAATTGCAGGAGGGGAAAGAAGGAGGGCAAGAGACTTGTTGGAAGCGTCAGGAGCTAGCACTGACGCTTTGTCTCCTGCCGATGATAGCAAAGTTCTTAACGGAAGATGATCCCAGTCAATAGAGCCAGACGTCTGATTTATCTAATGGAGTCAAGCAGAAGCAGTGGTCTTCCTCCGCAGAGCGACGGAAAGGGAAAAGGCTACTAGACTAGAATAACCGAGGGACTCCACAAGTAGAGCTGCCGGTGTTCAGAAATGTGTTCCCCAACAGCAAACCACAGGAGAGCTCCCGAGAGCAGCCTCCTTGAGCCTGGATGCTGAGGAGTGACGGTGGGGCGAGTGTCGCTGCTGGATTTTGGCCGCCGCCGCAGCTGCCACGGGGCACGCTGCGCAGTGAGGGGTCTGACCGCGCACCGACCGCTCTCGGCTCTCCGCTCTCCGGAGCCTGGGTCGGGCTGGGAATGAGAAGTTAAAGAGAGCCAGGGCTGGGAGGCGCAAACCCCAACAAGAAATCTAGGGAGTGAAAGGAGAGCGACGGTGATCTTGAGCCAGGACATCAGGCCAAGTGGACCTGGAGGAAATGTCATCATTGGTAAAGGAGGACTTGGAGAAGAAACTGTTTAAGCCGCTCTCGCAGAATCTGTACGAGTTTATTGAGATCGAGTTCTCGGTCCAGGACAGGTATTACCTCTGTGTGTCAGGTAATCTGTTCTTTCTGTTATGACTTCAAAATGTAAATAACTCCAAGAGGCATGGGTGGTGGAAGGACATGTTTGTATGTATTTTCCGAAATAATAACAGCACGTGTATCTTCTCGTGATAGAGCTTAACTATGCCAAGTTTAGGAATTCAGATTCCACAGGATTTTATTTTCAGTGCTAAAATGGAAGACAGAAAAATAATATCATAGTAAGAATATCTTGGTTGGCTGTTCAGCATGAAACCGGGTATGTATTTTCCTGCTTTGATTATTTTGTCTCCAATCTTTTATTTAACTCACTTGCATGGTATACAATCTTTATGTGTAAGAGCTTATTTTTAAAAATTCAACAGAGAGCTTTCTTTATATTTTTAAATACACTAGAGAATTGAGTTATACAGCTCTATTTCCAACCAGCCTGGACAACTAGGAGATTCTCCTTTTTCATGGTAGGAAGGAAAAAAAGACCTTAGATTTTCTTCTAAGGGCTTATTTAGACTTCCTGGTGGTTTATTTTGAAAAGAGAAATGATCTTCTAAAAATTCTTTCTCTTCTAGGAAGTATGCTCACAGAAACAATACTTTAATCATAGAAATTAGTTCATGAAGATGGAACTTTAACGATAAGGGGCTGCTCTCTAAACTACTTAACTAAAATACAGATTTTTCCCTCATGTTCTTAAAATTCACAAAAATTGTCTATACATGGGAATAGGCTTTTGTGCTTAATTATGATTTGCCTAACCTGCCATGTTTATGAATTTAGACAGAAATGTTTGTGCCATTATTGAATTTAATATATAGCATTCCCTTTTCCCAATCCATGCCTTTTGCTACTTCTCAGGGGCTTAGGAGGAAAGAGCTCAGAAACTCTAAGTGTTCATTGTGGACTTTCTTTTTTAAGGCACACACCTCAACATTTTCAGAAAACAACTCCTGATAATTGCCTCAGAAGGAATCTCTAAAGTTGTCAAGTTGGAGTACTATAAGGGAAGTAGAACAGCCTTAAATAAAGTGCTCAGAATTTTTTAAAATTCTATCATTCCTAATAAGAACAATGTTTACTCGATAATAAGCATACTAATATTTATCTAACACTTTACCTAGCATATGTTGCTGTATATAAATACAAAGTATGAGGACTTGGCATATCAGCAAGGTAAAAAACTTAATTGGCCAGGAAAAAGAAAGAAATCAAATTATGGGAAAATGTCAAATGAAATAATTTTAGAAACTATATTGTATCCTAACCACAAAATCACTGTATGTTTAAGTATTTTGACTTAATATATTAGAGAAGATGTTTATTCCATCATTAATATTTAATCATTTTATTCCTCTCATGATCCTCTTTATAAAGTTAATTACTCATCATGTAACATTAGTAAACAAGTATTTTTAAGGAAAACTTATAAAAATAAAATAATCTGAACAATGTATATATCTAACTTACCAAATATATTTTAATTCCTTTCTCCAATCATATAAATAACTAAACTTGTCCTATCTGGTATAAAAAAAAAAAAGTCCCCTGGAATTAAACTTTTGGAAATGGATAATGTCTTTTTTTCTGCTGTCCTTGAGTTCTAAGAAAGATACTGTGGGCTGGGGTTACCTGCTGTCTTTTTTCATACATGACCTGAATCCTTTTAACAATGATCAGAAGGTCAAGGGGTTAACATTCTTAATATGTGTGAAGGCAACCTCTTCAGGGTTCAATTTTCTCATCTGGAAAATGACAAGAGTAGGTGATCACTTTCATTAGTAAAATTCAATGATTCTCTTCTGTAAGAAGTAAGGAAGGAAAAAAAAAAGGTCCTCTCAGATGTGAAGAGAAAGCACGATTGTGTTATTTCAGATAAAAGTTAACATTATAAGTCATATTTATTCCTAATTTTTCATACTCTTCTCTGTATCACAGCCATCAAATGGAGAGCACTTTCCTTAAATGTAACATCTCTTTATGACCCTTTCAAATACATTTAGGCAGAGTGGTAATTTAAAATGAAGTCAGTGTGATGATTGATAGTCTTTAATCTTTGATCATGCTTTACTCAGAAGATTTCTATTGATATGAATCAAACAGGTCATATCACAATTATTGAGGCAGGTAACTCCAAATTTTGAATGTTGGCGACCTTCACAGAATAGAGACTGATGATTATAATTTTCTCTTTATTTCCTACAATCTAGCAGTTCTAAATTTGTAAGAATTGAAAGGCTAGACTAGCTGAATTCCATCAGGCACTTTTCAAACTAAAGAAGGTATGTTTAGATAAGTTAAATTTTCTACTTATCTGATCAGAATCTGTCTTTTGTAGGGGTCTCACAACCAGATGATTCTGATTTACTGTTATCTTAATATTTTACCTGATTGATGTCAAAAATCAGATGTCATAAACCCAATCTCCCTCTCTGTATTTTGCTAGGATTTACATTGAGGATTTCCTGGCACCTCAGTCTCCTCCCAACTCAGAGTTTGCATGGTCATTTCTCCTTGGGATTAGCTTCCCCTAGCCTAGAATATCATTATCCCTGTCAGTTAAAAGCAGCATCTTCTTATAGAGGATAGAGGAGCCCTATTTTATGCAGTCACTAGAAAGGGATAAGTCACTGTCCAATGATGAGTGCAAATGAATTAAAGGAATTCTGAAGGACTTGAAATAGTATATCCAGCATTTGCCATAACTGAATGGGAAGTAGCAGGTCATGGTAGAATGGACCCTGGGATGCTCGCAATCAGGTCTGGTATAAAACGTGACTCTACTTTGTCCACCTGCCGGCTGTGAAATTTGGGGCAAGATAATTAACCTCTCTGGCCTCAGTGTTGGCATCTCTGAAATGGAAATAATAACACCTACATATGCACATAGTGCTCTCCTATTAAATCCTAACAAGGGAAAAAAAAAAAAACATGATAAATTATGTTCCAAAGAAATAAAATAAAAGATAGGGTTATATTTTTTAAATGTATATAAAAATATATTTACTGTAAAAATATGCTGAAATATATTTGTATAAATCATATATACCTTAAATATTTATAATAAAAATAAAATAGACACTAAACATATATATTATATTTAATATTTAATTAAAATTGAGATATTATATTGTATATTTTATAAATATAAATTATATACATATTCAGATAGAGCATTTTAAGTATTCTCATATATTTAGAAAAACATTCTTCATTCATAAATATTAATTTTAAAATAAATGGAATTGTCTAGAATTATGAAAACTGTGTGTATAAATTATCCATACATATTACATTTTAATGTCAGAACAGAACTTCTCTGAACCAGGAATCTAACCATTTTGTCAAACCATTTACAGTAAGAGTGGTAATAATAAGAGTTAAATAAGAATAAGAATAAATTAACAAGAAAAAGAAACAAAATATTAGAGACCAGGTGCCTTATAAACAATAAATATTTATTTCTCACAGTTTGGGAAACTGGGAAGTCCCAGATCATGGCACCAGTAGATTCAGTGTCTGGTGAGGACCACTTCCTCAGAGACCACCATCTTCCTGTAACCTTACATGGTGGAAAGGGCAAGAGATTTCTCTGGAGTCTTTACATAAGGGGACTAATGCCACATCACCTCCCAGTGTGCCCACCTCCTAATACCATCACTGTGGGGGTTAGGATTTCAAAAATGAATTTTTTGGCGGGGGAACACAAACATTCAATCTATAGTGCTCAGTATAGCCCCAAAATTGATTTTATAAAAATATTTCTAGAAAAAAATATGATTTGAAAATTGTTTTTTTAATGAAATCAATACTAGCATTCTCAACGACCCCAAGACATCACCCATACATTGAAACATTTTCACTGAGGCTTCCTATCTTTGATATCTCATGGTGATTTTTTCATATTATTTCATTTCAATGATGAAAACAATTATGTAATACTAGGATTGTAAAATAGCAGTCATTTGTTTATTTAAAGCATTTCTGTGTAGCTCATTTGTGAGCTATTGTTTTTCCTCTATTCTGCAAAATTATATTGGTTCAATTAGCCAACCTTCTTTCCATTTAGTCTTATGAATTATAGTGACTGTTTTACCATGATAACAGAGGCAGTTATTAATGAGTGTTTCTTTTGAAATTCAAAGTGAAAATAAATGGTTGGTGTGAAGTTAAGATTGTAATTCTGAAAATGCTAACGAAACCGTTAATACTGGAGCAGGTTACTTTGAAATTCCCTGAGTCTATAGATTACTCACTGAATCAGCATTATATGACGCTGCCTCTGATGTTACTGAAACCAACTCTCTAACACTTTGACTATATAAACACATTTCTGTTTTAAGACAATGTGATAAGTTTCCACTTTGCCGCTGCATTAATGTGGATACGGCCATTTAATTTCAGCTGGCAGCACAGGGCAAGCATGGAAATTAGGGATTGGGTCCACTCCAGCGTGAGTAGACTTCTTTGACTCTTGGCTAAAGACAATTCTTGGAGCCTCCTTGACTCCAGAGGAGGCTCCTTTTGCCAAATTAAAGAGTCTGCACTGTCTCTGTGCTGAATCATTGTATCAAAAGGTTGGCTTTTAAAGTGTGCTTGTTTCCTTAGTTTGGTGTTCCTGGGACAGTAGTCATTAATGTAAGAAAACTTGATAACTGGTAGGTTCTACCTTCTTAATATCTCTTTCCATCCTTTATAGAACTGCTCAAGAAAACTTTCTAGAATTTAAAGCTTAGCCTATTAGTTAAAATCCTTCAGCGACATCCCTCCTCCCAAGGGACCCCTCCACACACACATAGCTTTTAGGATCGCATTTGAACTCCTTAGCCTAGCATTCTAGACCCTTCAGGAACTACCTCCTGCCTTACCTGGTTCCTTCCACCTATCCACCCTCACACTTCATGCCAACAATACCTAATACCTATCATGACTCAAAAGGGTCAAGTACTTCATGCTTTTGTACACATGCTGTTCCAGAACTCCTTCTACTACTTTCTTTATTCTGCTAACTCTTACTTCCCTTTACAACTCAGATTACCCCCTTCAAGAAGCTCTCCCTGACCCCACCTTCTCCATTTTCCTATATTACCCTGTCTGTGCCTCCCTCATTCCCAGCACTGTGATCATGTGTGTTCTTTCTGAGCCCCTACTCCCCGTAATCTCAGGGAGAGCAGGAATGGTGCCTTATGGGAATTCATTGTTTTCATGCCTAGCATAGGGCTTTGTACAAAAGGGGAACTCAAATATTTATCAAACTAATGAAATGAATCCGTGGGCCTATAGGCAATCAGCTAACTATCATAACATGTAGATGAGGCAGTGGAATTTGCTTCAGATTACATTTTCATATAGTATCCAGTTATTTGTCCCCATACCCATCCTCTCCCACACCCTAAGTAGCGAGTGAGACAGCGAGCCGGAACAAGAACACTGTCCTTTGGTTCTGAGGTAGAGCCTTCGTCTGAACAGACACAGCTGCCTCCTCGTGGAAGGAACTGTCTCCAAGATCTTGTCCTTATTAAGTCTGACAGAATCAACTTGGCCTCCACGTCAACACTCCATCCTAATGGCTTCCTTTCTAATCCTTTCCTCTTCCCAAAGCTAACATCTAGACCAGTAGAAATGGAGAAATATACATAGGCAAAAACCCACCAATTTTTGGAGGCTCACAGACTCTGAGCCAGTTTGTTGATACTGAATTAAGATCTTCTGTTCTGGGTCTTCTCAAGGACATGCTTTTCAATCACTCCCTTCATCCCCCAGAATACACAATCCCTCCTCTTCCAAACTCGTGGAATGTGTGATCTAAATCATAGCCTTTAATCTCCTCCTGTTTCTTTTTCTAATCCTACCTAACCTGGGAACTGGCACACAGTATGACTCAGTATTAGCTAGTGCATGGAGGAGTCCTCTGCAAGTTGTCTTCTGCCCTCACCATTCCAGAGAAACTGCCCTCGGCAAAGAAATCAATGATATTCCCCAAGTCAGATTCAGTGCCAGGTCTGAACTCTGCTTTACCCAACAAAGTGACCTCACGGGATGATCTCCAATTTTTTAAAATCCTCCGTCCTTTTGATTTCCATAGCATTGCCTTGTTGGGCTTGTCTCTTCCTGCGGCACCTTCTCAGACCTCTCTGCTGACACCTTTATCTTCTCTGCTCTGTCTCACCTCTTTCCTCTGCTCTTTTCCCTATAAACTTGGTCTTGGAAACCTGTCCACACAGAAAAATCCCAAGCCCATATTTCCATTCCTAAACTATAAGCTTCCATCTCCTTCTTTTCTGAGATCGTTTATGGACAACGTGTCTGAATGTCAAAATCTAAACTCATTATTCTGCCCAACCAGCTCACTGTCCGGACTTTCCTGTTTGGGTTTCCATCCAGTGTTGTCAATGCCTCATTTGAAATCTTACTTAGATTTGCCACAACTATTCTATTGCCCACATTCTGTGCCTAGATTACAACAACAGCCTCTTAAAACAAACAAAATAAACTACTTTACCACTTACTGCAAACCAGGCATTATCCTACCTCATCTATATATTTTATCTTTAATCTTTACACCCTATGAGTTTGTACAATTCTGATGTGCACTTTACAACTTGAGCGAATGGAGATTTAATCTCTCTGAACATGAAGTAGTTTACTCAGACCACACTGTAAGAAGTGGTGTCATGATTTGAATCCAAACTGTCTAACGCCAGAGCCCACTAAGCCTCACTGCCTTTTCCAGGGATCTCCAGTCCTTCTTTGTTTTCTTCTCCAGTGTATCTTGTGCATCACTGCTCCCAGGAAAATACTCCTTTAACAGGGCACCACTGTACTAGCCTCCGGTTCAAGGAGGAAAGAGACTTATTGAATATGTATAACTGTATGAGCTTTCACTGAACACCTGACAAAAAGCCCTCTTCTTAGATTTGTGAACCTGCTCAGACTCCCTCCGCTAGAGGATTGAAGTCACTGAGCAACTCTAAAGTTAGACTGGTTGCCTTAATTTCAGTCTCACTTGCACCTTCAGAGAGTAATTACTCCCTTCACCAGCCCCAATTCTGGAGCCCTCACTGCCCAGGCCAGAATCCCATCCCTTCCACCAAAAGGAGGATTCGGGTATCACAGGTCCTCAGTGGTCTCTGTCCCTTTTCAAATCCAGAGGTTTTCAAAACATTTTCACAATCTTCTCAACCTAGTTAATCCTATTGCCCACCGTATCCTATCACCAACCAATCTACACAGTCCACTTGTTCTAATTCTATTGGTGAGGTTCAGCTTCTATTGTCATCCATTTCCTCATGCTGTCCTTCACCTAGAGATGCTTTCAGTATCATCCCTGCCTTCCCAAACAGGACTATTATAAATCTGTCTCAAATTCTATTTCTCCCATAATTCCTTCCTTAACTACTCCAATCCTCTCCGTCCTCAGAAATCCTGTTGAACATATAGTCTGCTGCACATTGCTTATCTAGCATTATGATTGTATCTTAATGTATTGCTTTATATCTTCTTAACCAAGAGGACATGCCAAAGGGCACTTTCCAGAACCAAAAGAAAGTTCCTCAAAGACAAATTCCAGTTTCACTCTTAGAGGACAGAACCAGTTTGCAACTCTCTAAGTGACATCATCCATCTTGAAAGAAGCTTTCAGAAATTCAATTCCTACTGCAACCTCTTTATAATATACCTACATACCATTGTATAATATACCTATATACCATTATGTACCATCACTATATATTTTGTGTGACTCATGTGTGTTAGCAACAAAACCATAGATTCTAGAGGGCATGGACTATGTCTCATACTTGTATCCCCTCTGGCATCTGTAATAGCTCTATCAGGTAAATAGCAGATACTCAGTAAATATACCTTTATTAATTCATTGATAATTTTCAATCCAAGAGCTCCAACATCAAATGTTGATTCCTCTGTCATGTTCATCTGAGACCAAAGATTTTAAGTCCAGAAAATTATTTCCCTCATTTTGTTCACATCAAATAAGCAATGATTTTTCCCATGCCTTTCAAGGTATAGTACTAAAGCTTTTTGTCTTGATGGAACATTTTGAATGCTAAAATTTGGAAACATGCTAAAGAAGATTAAAAATCTCAAACAATACCAAACAGGTCAACAGTAGCTGCGATGCAAGCACTTCTACATAAAAAATCTCACGGCGACTTTAAAAGAAAGCATGCAGAGTAGTATTCATATGGTCACTCTTCAACACTGTGTTGCTGTGTGAGCAGAACTGTTTGCTTTCCTGAACTCACTTTCTATATTGTCATAAATTAAAATTCCAATTTGTTCTGGTAAATACTTTGGCACTGACTGTATGCTAATGCTAAGCCTCTTATTTCCTGCCATGAGTCAAACACCATTCTCCACCACAAAGCTCATAGCTGAAAGCCTGTAGCTCAGTGCACCATCTGACAGACATTACCAGGGCAGTATGTAACCACAGTTGTAGCAAAAAGTAAGTTAACATATGGAGCAAATTAGGGGGCATAGTCATGAAGGTTCAGATACATCAGGATTCATCATTGGGGTACAGATACAATGAAGGCTCAAACTCATTCTATGAAAAGGAGATACATAAATACTGAAAGGTATAAAAAGTATAACTTGATGAATAATTTATTACGATCTAAGAGTTTATGAAAACTAAATGTTTTTCTGCCCTCCAGTGACCAAAAATGAAGAAGTAAAAATAATCATGGTGAAACACTACAGAATAGGTTTAGATGAAAAATACGAAGTGACAAAAAAGTGGTCTTTGAACGATCTGCAGATGATTGATGGAAAAGAAGCAGATACTGTAAGTGTTATGTTTTGCAAGGGAGATGTGGGATCAATATGCTAGAAATCTTTGTGTTCAATATCCTACTTCATATTATTCTTGGCATATACTAAGTGTTAAGATGACGTATTGTTCTTAAGTGCTATGGGTTTTTTCTGCTGGGATAATCCACGGGATTTTTTGTTCCATTTTTCTGAGTTGGAGTTTGAATTTTTGTCCATTAAATTTAAAAGCATCTTTCCCAAGGGATTCTTAACAGGTTAAACACGATCTGCCAGTCAATCCTAAAACTTTATATGATGCTTCCACCACCGCCCTCTCCCCACCCCAAGTTCCTCCATTAAATTTTGGGGATTCCTTCCTCATCTTCTTCAAACTACTGTTAGTTAGCCACTTGATCCTCCAGAAAAACCAATAACTCCTGGAAATCCTACAACCTTAGAGTTGAAAGGTGGGGAGAGGGTGTATATGGCAATCTCTCCACATAACCTCTTGACAAGTGGTTTTCTCAGTCTTCCCTTGAATTTGTCCATTGATGGGGAACTCATTGTCATGTGAGGAAGTCCATTCAATTTCTGAATTGCCATACTTTATTTTTAAATTTTCTGCTATGTTTAACCAAAAATCTGCTTCACTCTAACATCCACCCATCAGTCCTGGTTTTGCCATTTGGAGCAACTTAGAAAAACTCCAATCCTCCTTTCACATAGCAGCCTTTCTAATATTTGAAGATGATTATAATGTTCCCTCAAGTTCTCTATTTTCTAGGTTAAATGTAACCATTTCATTCTTTAAATAACTTTCACATGAAGATCAAATCAGATAATATGATGGGACAATACAAATGTTAAGAGGTAGTAGCATTGTTGTGGTTTCTTTCTCATGACATTGCTTCAACACCCTCACTACCCTGTTTTCTCTCCCCTGGAATGCTCCAGCTTTTCCAGAATTAAATACAATAATTTAGAATTAGTGTGACTAGTTTGTATTTCCTTCGATCTGAATTCTTTATTTCTCTTAAACACTTACCTGAAACCTCAGGTCTTTTGTGCCTGAATTACCATTTAACCTGATCTGCCATTACTTACATAGCATAAAATTTAAATTAGGGCTCTTGGTGATTTGGCTCCTTTATTTCTGGTCATTCCCCCTTAAACTGTATACATCCACAGTGCTTAACTACTGACTCTTGAGGTTTATAATGCCCAGTCACCTCCATCTCTCACCCCATTCCCAGATTCCCTATTGGGTAAAGTCCTACTAGTGTTTCCCTTCCCCAAAACCCCCATTGCATTGTGGATGTAAGTTACAGACATAATTCCAGCAACTGCAATTGTTGGCTTACTCTGTCTCTCCTCTGGATAGAAACCTCCTAAAAAACTGAGACCATGACTTTTGATCTCTTATCGTAGCCTTCTGCCTTATAGATATTAAGCATTCAATAGGTATTTGTGTTTTTGTTGGATCAATTAGAATTTAAGCTTATTTATTCTTTTTTTTATTATTATGTTCGATTTGCCAACATATAGTGCATCATTAGTTTTCGATGTAGTGTTCAATGATTCATTAGTTGCAGATAACATCCAGTGCTCATCACCACACGTGCCCTCCTTAATGCCCATCACCCGGTTACCCATCCTCACCCCCCTCCCTTCTGTAACCCTCAGTTTGGTTTCCGGAGTCCAAAGTCTCTCATGGTTTGTCTCCCTCTCTGATGTCTTCCCATTCAGTTTTCCCTCCCTTCCCCTGTGGTCCTCTGCTCTATTCCTTATGTTCCACGTATGAGTGAAACCATATGATAATTGTCTTTCTCTGTTTGACTTATTTCACTTAGCATAATCCCCTCCAGTTCCCATCCATGTCGATGCATTTATTCTTTATCTTAGTGAATACCATATTCTTAGTTTAGTTTATTATTCCCACCTATCAGATCTTTTTTTTTTAAAGATTTTATTTATTTATTTGACTGAGAGAGACACAGCAAGAGAGGGAACACAAGCAGGGGGAGTGGAAGGGGGAGAAGCAGGCTTCCCATGGAGGAGGGAGCCCGATGCGGGGCTCTATCCCAGGACCCTGGGATCATGACCTGAGCCGAAGGCAGACGCTTAATGACTGAGCCACCCAGGCGTCCCTATCAAATCTTTTAATACTTGATTTTTTAATATTCACTGTGGTATGATGCAGATTTAATGAGCACAACATGTAGGACTTGAATCAAGTCAATAATAAAAATGATGAAACAAGCAGAGCTAAGCGCCCTCTGGGTAACCTCTAGGTAATTGATTGGTTATTATTACCACCACTTGTAATACCGATCCCTGCTACTATCTCACACTTAGTAAACTCTTATCAGATGCCAGGAACCACATGAAGCTCTTTTCATATATATTTCACATAATCATCACAAACCTTATAGAATTAGATTCTGTTATTACTTCCAATTTACAAATGAGGAAAACGAAACTTGAAGAGATTAATTGACTTGCCCAAGGTTACAAAGCTATTCAGTGGTGAAACTACACTTTGCCCAGAAACCTTCTTTGGACTGCTTGTTTAACATCTCTACAAATTCATATATTCATTCATTCATTCATTCATTCAGAATTTGTGGTATACCAGGTTCTACTAGGCTCTTAAGATATGGTGGTGAAATAGACATAAGCATTTAATCCTACCTGACTTACTTATTTACTTAATTATGTAGTCTGAATACATGAATTTTGCCCTTATGATCTTTACTGAAATCAATATATACTATCTGCTATTATCTTGACATTACCTAGGAATCAATCCTATTTTTAAAATTTGGTATGTTTGGCATGACTTCTTGGTGAAAGCATGCTGGATTTCGTTGCTTTTTTTTCCTGAGTACTCACATAGCATTTTTCTGATAATATATTCAACCTAAAAGTTCAACACTTAGGAAATAGTTATTATTGCATATCAATATGGTGGAATGTTACATGTCATTAAAAATCATGTTTCCAGAAGAATGACTCAGAACTCAATTGTTCACTACTTAATAAGTTTTTTAAAAGTCAGCCAAATACAAAATTTTTCTACTGTTATCTCATTTTGCATATTTAGAATATTTCATATTATTGAAAACTGAAATCTGAACCTTAAATTCAAATACAAAAAATACATATAGGTATATGTATTTATGCATGTATATCTATATATGAAAGAAAGCAGTATTTTAACAATAATTATCTCTGTGTGATAGGATTACATATTTTTAAATTATTATTTCTTCTTTATACTTCTATGTAATTGTCAAAATTTCTTTTTTTTTTTAAGGATTTTATTTATTTATTCATGAGAGACAGAGAGAGAGACACAGAGGCAGAGGGAGAAGCAGGCTCCCAAGGAGCAGGGAGCCCGATGCAGGACTCGATCCCAGGGCTCTGGGATCATGACCTGAGCCGAAGGCAGACGCTTAACCATCTGAGCCACCCAGGCGCCCCCGTAATTGTCAAAATACTATACTGCATTGAATTTTATCAGAAATCAATCTCAAGGTGCTCCTGGGTGGCTCAGTTGGTTAAACGTCTGACTCTTGATTTCAGCTCAGGTCATGATCTCGGGGTGTGAGATCAAGCCCTGTGTCAGGCTCTGCACTGATTGTGGACCTGCTTAAGATTCTCTCCCTCTCCTTCTGCCTCTCTCCACCCCCCACTTGTGCACTCTCTTTCACTCTCCACTCTCTCTCTCTAAAAAGGAAAAAAAAAATCTTACTGTGCTGTTTAATAAATAAAAGAAATATTTTTTTAAAAAAAGAAGTCAGTGTCAAGTTCACCAATCTAGTTCCAGGAATTAACCATCCCTGCCTCTTTTTTGGCCCATTTTTCTTTTCTTATTTTTCTCTCAAGTTCTCAAATATTACTGATGTCCATAATGATTTCCTACAAGTTTGGTCAGTGCCTGGGGTTGTATTCAGCAAGCCTGTCAACTTAGATTCCCTGGAAGCAGCTCACTGTGCTCTATTTTCTCCTCACCTTCCTGGCCTTAATTCCATCCCAACCTTGTTGATTCTTCCCTTTCCTGTTGAAGATCATCATCTTTTATAGTGATCTAGATACAAAAGAGAAATTGAGTATTTCTAATTTTCTCATCACTTTAGGACCCAAAAATACTAAACTGCCAGAAAAAAAAAACCCTATAATATCCAAAGAGCAGTTCTTTTAAAGATTTATTTTCTGTGGATGAAACGAAAATATCCCAGTTGTTCTGGGAATTTCTATGTCTCCTCTCTCTTGGAATTGAATCCTCAGAAGTCAGCATCTATTATATTTTTCTCAATAGCAACAATACGGTTTTAAATAGAACAATTCCAAGCCAGAGAGTTGTCAACTTTAAAATGGAATGGAATTAAAACTGAAGTCAATCTATAAAGCAGAAATCAAAAGGACTGGGAATTTGGAGAGTGATGTGGTTGGTATATCAGGAGGGCAGATGGTGTAGCAAAACATCAGGCTGAGATGATTGAGATCTTTGTTCTTGTCCCGGCTCTGCCAACAACTACGTGTGTGACCAGGGCTCTCCCTCTCTGGAAACTATTATCCCAGACATAAACAAGAAGTCACTGAGTGATCCGTGAGACCCCCTTCTAGCTCTAGGATTCTATGGAAAGAAAGAATGAGAGAAGGGAAGGGGAGAGAAAGAAGAGGAAGGAAGCACTTGTATTCTATGTGCATGCCTGCTCAGGCTTCAATTATTAGGCTAAAGTAGAAAAGTAATCCTCTGTGAGTATCTCAAAGGCATAACGGATATTATCTACAGGATAAAGAGCCAATGTTTTAGTGAGAAAACTATATAAAGGGCATGATTAGTATATGGTGATGGAATGGGTGTGATTTCCTTTTATTGAGATTTCCTGCAGAAGTGTCTTTCAAGTTGCAATTATGACAGCCAGGAAAAATTTTGCAAGGTGTGGCTCAAGGGAACACTGCATTTAAAATCACATCACTTTTGAATCATGGAACACTACATCAAAAACTAATGATGTAATGTATGGTGATTAACATAACATGATAAAATAAAATAAATAAAAATAAATCACATCACTTTGTTGGTTTTTTTAATTTACTGGCATGAAGCAAGGCAGTATTCACACCAATATCACAATCTTTGGGGGCAGATTCGGGGAAAAAGAGCTATTATTCATTAAACTCTACCCTTGCAGTTTTTTAAATTAATCTCATGTAAATTTCATAGCAACCATATCTAAAATGAAGAGAAGAGTGAAGGTCAGATCAGGTAAGTATTTTGCCCATGGTTACATCAGAGATTCAAAATGGTTATCTAACTTCAAAACTCATGTTCTTTTTCCTGCATCCTGCAAGAATTTTCCTATTTAAAAGAGAAATTGCAAATGCATAGCTGTTTCTTTATAATGTTTACACACTACCTGGTAACAAATTATTAATAGTCTGGTTTGGTCTCTCTCCACCTCTTTGTCATTTAGGGCAACATTTACCTCCACCTCTCTTTTTATAGGACTACTTCTGATCAGTTCAACACACATTTGTTGAGAACTTAGTAGTTGCCAGGGATAAGCACTAGGAACTCAGAGATAAATAATTCAAAACCTCTGCCCTCAAAAAGAGTTAGGGGTTAGACAGTTAATGAATGTGGAAGCATTTTGTAAACTGAAAAGCATTTCATAAATGCAAAGCATTGTTGTTACTGCTCTTAGTAACAACAATTATTATTATTTTAATATATAGGACCTAGATGAGGTTTGATGTTTTTTCCTCCAAACACCTCTGCTAGAAATATAGCAACAGCCTAGAGCAATCAATAGAGGCAGTCTTAAGTAATTTGACAATTTCAGTCAAATGATTTAATGATCCCAGCTGTTAACTTCAAAGGTAATTCCTTGCTATTAACTTCAAAGTCAGCAAGCTGGTGATCTGTATCATGCTAAATGCTAATCTTGCCATCTTGTATTTCCCCCTTCTACCATTGGAGTAGCACAAAGGATCAACCTCCTAATAAAGAAAAGGAGAAATCTTTTCTCCCCTCCAGAACGGGGGTTTATTTCTCTTTTTCCATCCCAACTTATCCTCTCAAACTCACTACTGTGGGAAAACTTGATAACTGTGCATCCTGAAACATGTTTTGTTTGAATAATTGAAAAATCACAGAGGCTTCCAAAATAATCTTCCATATTATTCTCTTTAGAAGCAATATGTTCAAAGCAGATAGCTTTGGAAAGTTCATTTGTAGGTTTTAGAAATATGTTTGATACTGATACTTTACAATCAATAAGCATATGTAAGAGAATATGAGAGAATCCCCAGGAAATCTAGCTACTTTCCTGGCTACAAGCAAAATCATGTCTCTGTTTTTCTTCTAGGACAATCCATTTTTTGATCTGCATTTCAAGAAAGTGTACAGTTTGGAAGCATACAGTTGTGCTTCTAAATATGCCTTTGCTCGAACTGTAAATAAGCTGAATCATGCGTATCTTAAGAAGGATTTACAGATTGTGAACTTTGATTCTACTTACATTAATGATGATTCTATTTGGTCCTCCAACAACAAGGATTGCTTGGTTCTTATGAGAATATGCTTTTATGTTTTCAATCTAGTGTGCTTATCCCTGTGTCCCCTGCCACTCTGAAGATGTATATCATGTTCCTTCATCAGTGTTCTATGAAGATGGTTCCCTAGGTAAATACCGATAATCATGATTTTGTTTTTCCCCTTCATCAGTGACTATGATTTATATGAAAATAAAGTGATTTGCAGTGAAATGTGTTTTAATGCAATCATTCAACATTTGGGACTTTGGCCTGTGCATTGCTTGGTAACTTTAGAAGGAGCTGGATGGTTTTGCCTACATTTGTATTCTACCAAAAAGTATCAAGAAGTATCTTGAAAGGCCTAAGTAAATGGAAAGACAACCATGTTCATGGATAAGAATTAATATTGTCAAGATGTCTGTACTACTCAAAGCAAGCTACAGATTCAATGCAATCTCTATTAAAATTTCAACAATATTTTTAGCAGAAATGGAAAAGTTGATCCTCAAAATCATATGAAATTGCAAGGGGGCCTGAATAGCCAAACAATCTTGAAACAAAAGTACAAAGTTGAAGGACTCACATCTCCCGACTTCAAAACTTACTACAAAACTACAGTAATCAAAACAGTGTGGTACTGGCATAAGGATAGCCATATAGACCAGTGGGATAGAATTGAGAGTTCAGAAATAAATCCAAACATCTATGATCAGCAGATTTTTGACAAGGGTGCCAGATACATTCAAAGAGGAAAGAATAATCTCTTCACCAAATGGTGCTGGGACAGCTGGATATCCCCAAGCAAAGGAATGAAGCCCCTATCCTACACCATATATAAAAATCAACTTAAAATGGGTTAAAGACTTAAATATAAGACCTGACACCATAAAATTACTAAAAGAAAATATAGTGGTAAATCTTCAGGACCTTGGATTTGGCAATGGATTCTTATGAAGTCAAAAGTATGAGCAACAAAAGAAAAAATAGATTGGACTTCATCAACACTGCTTTTGTATCAAAGGACATTATCAAGAGAGTGAAAAACCTACAGAGTGGGAGAAAATATTTGCAAATCATATACATGTTAAGAGTTTAATACCCAGAATATATAAATAACTCCTACAACTCAGTATCAAAAAGACAAACAGCCCAATTCAAAAATGACCCACATAGACATTTTTCCAAAGAAGATATACAATAAGCACAAGAAAAGATACTCAACATCTTTAGTCACAGGGAAATACAAGTTAAAGCCACAATGAGATACCACTTCACACCTATTAGGATGGCTTTAAAAACAAAAACAAAACCAGAAAATAACAAGTATTATCCAAGATGTGGAGGATTGGAGCCCTTATATGTTGTTGGTGGGAATGTAAAATGGCACAGTCACTGTAGAAAACAGTTTCACATTTCCTCAAAAAGCTAAACACCAAATTACCAAATGACCCAGAAATTCCACTCCTATGTATATATTCAAAGGAATTGAAAGCAGGGGCTTGAATAGATATTTGCACAGCGATGTTCTTTGCAGCATTATTCACAAGAGCTGAAAGATGGAAACACCCCAAGTATCCATAAACAGATGAATGGAGACACTAAATGCAGTCTATCCATACAGTGGAATATTTTTCTGCCGTAAAAAGCAATGATGTTCTGATACATACTACAATATGGATGAATGTTGAAAATACACTAAGTGAAATATCAGACACAAAAGAACAAATATTGTATGACTTTACTTACATGAAATATCTAGAATAGGCAATTCCAGAAACAGAAAGTAGGTAAGAGGTTATCAGGGGCTGGAAGGAGACAAAAATGGGGAGTTGTTGCTGAATGATTACAGAGTTTCTGTTTGGGTTGAAGAAAAAGGTTTGAAATAGATGGTGCTCATGGCTGTACAACATTGAGCATGTAATTAATACTGCTGAATTGTACATTTACAAGATGGTCAGAAAGGTAAATTTAATGTTATATATATTTTACCATGATTAAAAAAAATAATAATGTAATATGCTAAAAGTCACTGAATTGTACACTTTAAATGAGTGAATTGTATGGTATGCAAATTAAATCTCAATAAAGCTGTTTAAAAAAAGGACTACGTTTAGTCTGTTAAAAGTCTACTAGAAGAAAACATGAGTGAATTTTTTTATAAACTGAGACTGGGAAAAACTGCTAGCTATCACTCAAATCCAGAAATAATAAAGAAAAAAGTGATTACATAAATATAAGAAGACTTTGCATGAAAAAATACTATAAATAATCAAATAACAAATGACAAAGTTGGAAAAAATGCAAATTATAACAATACACTAATATTTTTCATAAATGGAATTCTCCTACACTTGAGAGGTTAAAAAGACCAACAATGCAAGGGCACCTGGGTGGCTCAGTTGGTTCAGCATCTGACTCTTGGTTTCAGCTCAGGTTATGATCTCAGGGTCATGGGATTGAGCCCCACATCCAGCTTCATGTTCAGTGCTGAGTCTGCTTAAGTTTCTCTCCTTCTGCACCCCCTGCTCTCTCTCTCTCTAAAATAAATAAATCTTTTTTTATTTAAAGATTTTGTTTATTTATTTGACAGACACAGCGAGAGAGGGAACACAAGCAGGGAGAGTGGGAGAGGGAGAAGCAGGCTTCCGGCGGAGCAGGGAGCCCGATGCGGGGCTCGATTCCAGGACCCTGGGATCATGACCTGAGCCGAAGGCAGATGCCCAACGACTGAGCCACCCAGGTGCCCCCTAAAATAAATAAATCTTAAAAAAAAAGACCAACAATGCAATTTGCTAAAAAATTAGAAAATGATATGAACAGACATTTCATTAAGAATTGCAAATGACACTTAAACATATAAAAAGATGATTGACCTTGCCCATAATAAGAGAAATTTAAATTAAATCTACAGTATGATCCTGTTTCTCACCTATTAGATGGGCAAAAATCCAAAACTTTAACAATATTTCACTGGAAGTGGGAAAACAGGCTCTCTCATTCATTGTTGTTGGAAATGCAAAAGGGTACAAATCCTATAGGAGAGGAATTCGACAATATCTTGTAAAACTACATATACATTTACTCTTTGGCCCAGCAATTTAATTTTTTCCTAGGACTCTATCCCAAAGATATTTTAGCAAAGGTACAGAATGACACATGCACAGGCATGTGACACTGTTTACAAGAGCAAAATATTTCAAATAGCTCAACTAATCATCACTAGAGGATGAATGGAATAAACTATGGCACACACACACAATACAGTACTGTGCAGGAGTACAAAGTGGGAAATAGTGAAGGCGCCAGGTGTGCCCTGAGTGGAGGCTGTTGGCATGAAAGCTGCAGGTGGGCTAACTAGAAGCAGGGTATCCTAGGTGATTGGTTAAAGACACATATTTGGCTTTCTCCAGTAGGTCCTAAGCTAGAAGTGGGGGCCAAAATTAAGGAAGTTGTCAATTATTAATCAAGTCCAGGCCACTTGGACCAGGCTATTTGACTTTCTAGGCTGATTGTTACAGATAGTAGTTTGACTTCCTGGACTGGTTATTGCACCTACTAGGTTGGCTTCCTAAGCTGATTGCTGCAGGTTGTGGGTCAGAGTTCTATTCCTGCATGTAGTCTGGCCATGGCCATTTGCATATTCAGAAATATCTTAATTATGGTGGTAGTCACATGACTGTATATGCTTGTCAAAATCCACAGAATCTAAACCATATTCTGAAGTTTAATTGTTACTAGTAATATTGGTAATGTTATTTTGAAACAATTATGAGAGTATTGAGTATTGTAAGATAAAGCATATGTTATCATGTTAATGTCATTAGAAACTGAGATTTCAAACTTAAGAGAGAGAATACATAAGAATGAAATCAAAAAATTAAAACCCTGAAGGAGTAATTTAACTGAAAATATTAATATAAACTCGTCTTTTAAAAAATAAGCATGCATTTTCTAGATTTGTCCACCAAGACCTTGAAGCAAAGACATCATGAGCAATGAGCATCTTAGCTTTCAAGAGTCGTCTATAAAGGCTATTCCTTACTGAAAAGAATGCAGATTCCTTAAAGAAATTACTGATTCTAAGTCTGGGGCAGAAAATGCACAAGATGAACATGGGACATCCTCATACACCAGGAAGAAAAGAAGCTATCAAAGTCAATTGGGATCAGTCAAAGGACAAAGGAGCCAATTTGAAGTAGCTCCCACTGGCCTAAGATGGAGAAATCTAAGCATAACAAAGAAAATGACTATAATAGAATGAAACACAGCAAATATATATATAAATCCATGAATTTCATAATATTAAAAATCTCATTTATCATCATTGGGATATCTGAAGATTGGTAGATAAAAGAAAGACTCAAGCATGTATCTTGCCTTTTCTGTAGGAACTGTATTCTGGGGAAGATTTAAAGAAGAATTCCAAGTAATAAATGCAGGAGGAATGATAGAACTAGAAAGTTGCCGTTTTGCAATCTCTTAATGAAATAATGGATTTAGGCAACAATTATCAGTGAACGCTAAAACCATTAGGGGAAAGTTTATGGTGAACTTTATAATGAAGGGACCAGGCTGACACCACTTGAACCCAATGAGCCATCTTAGTATCACTAGAAGTGGGTGAGCCAACCTGAAGGACTCATGAGGCAATGAAGTAAGTACATGGCACCACCAGTGAAGGAGTCTCACCTAAAAAATGAACCTGAATCTAATCCATCTTCTAGGCCTAGCCACAGGCAATATGAGGGAATGAGCTAAATGACACCCAAATACAGAATGTGAAATTCTATAGCACCAGTGACTCAGTTTCCCTAACAAATCAATTTTTTAAAGCATGGAGGGTGGGGAGGAGCGCTGTTTATTATTATCTTATTTCATAAAAGAGACTTAAGAAATGTAGTGTCCAAATACTACATGTGGACCTGGTTTGGACCCTGATTTGAATACACCAAGTATAAAAAGATAGTTTTGAAATAGGGAAATATGAATTTGTAAAGTATTAGATATCGAGGAATGGGTTGTTAATTTTGTTAAGTGTGATAAGAATGTGGTGGGTTCGTTTTATTAAAAAGTCCTTATACATTAGATAAGATAGTTAGATACTGGGATATTTATTGGTAATATGTCATGAAGCAGGGATTTATTTTCAAATACTCCAGGGAGGAAAAAACGGAAGACAATAAAAAATAGGATTGGCGTAGTCATTATCGAAACTGGATGATTAATCCATGGGAGTTTATTATACCAGTCTCTCTACTTTTGTGTACATTTAAAATTTTCATAATAAAAAATTTAAAAGTACCACATCTATTGTCCTGAAACAAAGGTTGAAGATCATTTTGAAATACCATTGTCCTATAAAAGGAGCCAGAGTTCCTTGAGAAGGG